TGAGCCAAGAAGGTGTACAATACAGGTAAAAAGCGGGCACTCACGCACCCCTGACCAACAGAGGCTGTAAATAATGAATACCAAAAGACGTAATGCTGAAAACACCTTAGTATCCTGCCCCTTTGTCTATATGAATACCACATCAATACTTGTGTTGGTTTGCCCATGTGGGCAGCAGCTGGCTTACTGGCGATATGATATAATCTAGCTGAACATGATGTAATGTGATCTCCTGGCTACATCAATCTTTTGTAAACAGCAGGTGCTCATAAAGACAAGATCCATCACTGTCTTTTGATTCTAGTCAGTATCAGTTGAGCTTATTTTTCACACTTCCATTTAATTAATATTATGTTTTCACCCCTTTCAACTTCCATTTTGACACATTTAGAAGTCAAAACCAACGACAGTGTCTAGCTGCAAATGTGAAACAACCCCAGCATTTTATTATCCCCCATGTTGGAAACATGCTCCACTTGTACGTTCACAAACCATTTTAATACCGGTATGTATGTTCACAAAACCATTTAATACGTAAACGTTACCCGGTTCCCTACTCTGACTTATGAAATGAGAATATGATTTGCATGGGAACCAATGAAATAAGTTCTTTATAGAATGGAATTGCTGTATGTAAATATTACAAGGGGAAGTTTTTGATATAGTGCCCAATGCCATGGGTAAATTGAATCTCTGACCATTGTGGCATATAAAGATGGAAAGCACTCTATCTTTTGAAAGTTTTGGGTGCGTAAAAATCTGATGTTTTAAAAATATTGTCATTTTGGAGCACGGATGCTGAAGGAAAGAAGGTTTCTTTTCCAAAATATTAAAAGCCAGGATTCCAGCAACTGCAAGAAGTTCGGTATTCCTTCTTTTTAATCTTCCACATCTTCCTTGTAGATTCTGGGGATCTTGGAATGATGAAAATATGAATAAAGGGTTAGGTTACTGAATAATAATGACACCCATACATACATTGATGCAGCAGTGTAAATCTCTCACGTATGCTTTCTCTGTCTGCAGAAGTTCCTGCATGATGAAGTCTCGTTTCCGTGCTGACTTTCTCTTATCTTCATTCATCTCTTTGGCATCTCGCAACTTGAGTTCCAGGCTGGTATCAGACATACGATGGTCGATGGACAGGTCCTTTGCATCTTCCTGAAAGGAACAATATTACATGGAGAGGGGTCATTTTCAACCCAAAACCAGATATCAAATGTCAATCATAAACAAGTAGAACCAGGTTTAATTTGTGCTTTTCGATGAAACGTTCTTCTGAAATATTTCCTTATGAGACATGGTGCTTCTTGTTAAAAAGTTAAAAGTTAATGCTACATCACCTCTTAATGTTCCCCGGATTTTGCAAAATTGTAACATTTGGTAAGCAGCAAGACTACAAGCTTGAAAATACCAGCAGTGAAGCTTACACGTACACATCTAAAAATACACAAAGTTTTCTCCATGAACACAACATGTCTACAAAATAGTGGATGGATTGTATGCATAAGAAAAGTACCAAGGGGAACTCATCCAATTCCCCACATACATAAGGGTAACAACCTTATGAACTGAGAAGGCAGAGGATTTGAAACCAATGGAATTTAAGCACAAAACTGCTCACCATGTTTATAACACACATTAACATGGAAAAAAAAGTAGCAACTTATTTCACAAGGTTAACAATGCCTGCTGATATCATCAACTGACCTCGTGACTCAGTCCTAGCTTTCCCTCTAGCTGTGCTCTGTACTTGTCCATTCGCAGGGAGAAGTCCCGATAACGATTGTCCACGGCTGACACCCATGACTTGATGCTAGAGGCGTGGAGGTGACCCTTCTCCACCAGGCTGTTGGCAAGTTGTAGCAGCAATTTCACCTTCTCTCTTGTTTCCTGATGAGAAAAGTCAAGATGATAATCTCTTATGAATTAATCACCCATGAAATGCAAGATCTTACTTAACTGTGGTAAAACAACTTTAGTCCAATGAGCAAGTAAAGCTACATTACTATAATCATGCAGGTGAAAATCTGTGTTGCTGGCACTGCTGTACCAAGCAAATATCTCATGCCCATACAGGGGAATGTTGGTTCTTCACATTGCATTCAAAAGTATGACCACAGACTAAACTGTTTTTCAAAAGCCTTCATCCAAACTTATCTCTGCTGTTCTTTTAATTTTTAATTTTAATTCTAAACATTCTCGAAATCACAAAGATATTGGAATGTTTTGCAAGACATCACTTCTGGTTTTAATGACCCTCTCATCAATATAGCAGACTCAGATCCAACCAGATCACAGGCAAAGACAAGACCATCTGTATCTCCTTGGCTCTTAAATCAACCACGCACGCCTTCACTTTACCTTGGCAGTTCCTTTAAACTCATTATGCTCCTTAAGCAGTGCTTGAGTCTCTTCAGGATTATCTCCTACATTGGTGTGAGTTGAGAGGTAGAACTCTCCTGTATCATGGATCCACTCCAAGGCCTATGCAGGATGAGATTAAGGGGAAACATCAAGCAGAGCAAACAAGGAACAACTATCTCTTGCATTAATGCTTAGTAATGATACAATGTGTTAACAATCAGACTGCAGTTCAATGTGGAAGTGAGCATAAGCACAGGACTACTGCACAGGTAGATGAAATTTATGTCTCATTTAAAGAAATTACAAGATTTTGCAACCCCCTAATAATACTAATCAATCCACACAAAACTGAGAGGTGAAGCTACCGTACAGTTACATATGGTGCTTCAAAATTTTTGTGGCAATTACAGAACTCATATAAATGTTTATCAGACGTACATGTACATCTCCTAAAAAGTTACTTATTCGCTTGTTAGCAACTTCACAAATTTGGTATTAATTTCAACATAGCATGGAACTCATCAGTCAACCGATGTTTGTACGACCACCAGCTGGAAAAGACATTAGGAGATGCAATTCTTCAATTCAGCACGATTTAAAGCAAGTAACTGCAGCGTTGAATTGTAAACCTGTCTGACTGTCATAAATAACATGAAAGTCATCCACACTCTAAAGCCAGGAAAGTAAAGGAAAACAACTGTTGGCTGATTCTGAAAGCAGTTCCTTGAAAAAACGTGATACAACTGGAAAAAAGAAGACACTTCACTTGATGATTAGCACAATGCTCAATGGTGAACTTGTAGATTCAAACCCCAATCTGTGACAAATTCAACAAGAAAAGTAGCAATTCTCTGGCACACTTTTCAATCAGGGCATATCCAGGAGCCACAGTAAAACCAAGAGCTTAGATGCAGCGAAAGACTATATCTGCATTCTCATATCATTACCTGTCTTGCACTGCGTTCAAACAAGACGTACTGCAGGCACTGGTCCAGTCGCTTCTTCTTCTGTGTCCAACTCTCAAGAACTTTGTCTTCTTGGCACAATAACTCCTCCAGGATTCCTGGGACAAAAATCATTACTGGAGGCAATTACCACATGTTCATGACTACCAACTCATGAATTGGTCCCTATGGTCTAATCACACAACAAAGTATAGGGGTGATTATACAACATGTGCGTGTTGCCAGAGATTCAATGATACTGAGGGAATTCAGAAGGTTTGGTTGGTCATCCAAGGTTCACATCCATTACTATCATTTTATTGGCACTGCTGGAAATCCCAAGGGTTCACCAGCTGTGTGGTAGCAATTTCTTGTGGTCATTCAAATTATGCAAGGAATGGTGATTTACAACAGGAGGCAGAAAGTTCACAGTCCACTCAATCTTTAAATAGGAAATGCCTTTGGAAACAACCTCTTCAACATTTCAAGTACTTTCTGTTGTTTTTTGCCTTTATTTTGATTGGCTTTTGCTTTATGTTTCAAACTTACTGACTCTGCGAAATATTAACCCACACCTGATATACTCTTGACACATAAATCCCCATCAATACCAAAATCTTAGTAGCTACTAGATTCTGTGCTCTGTGAAAAATTGGAAGCTTTCTGACAATAATGCTTGAAATGAATCCTGATCTTTATCAATGAGGAAACCCATCAAAATGAAGTGCCTACTCTTGACATAAGTCTCAGGTCCTCTGGCAACACTGGATGGAGGTGAGACAGCAGGTTGGCCACTGTTACATTTCTTGAGATACTTTAAGAAGCTCTCAGCATTGCGTCTGGCCATGGTGCATGCCCTGAGGAAACTTTCCTTCTGATCTTGATGTTTCTGAATCAGCTTCAGCATCTCAGTCTCTGAGACTGGGCTGAAGTGTTCCCGGCCACCGCTACACCAGTCTTCATCTCTGGTGTAGTCTCGTTGGAGATCCTCCAGCACTGACTGGACCTGAGAGAGTGTAAGCAGAAGGTGGGAATGACTACCCGATTCAAACATTAAGTTCATGACTTGCACCCGTAGCATGCCTATGAAGACGTAGACTCAAATCTTGCTGATGAACCATTTTACCACACTCTTTGTAAAGGTAGGTACGATGAGGTTTTTGCAAACTTACACTCTTCTGACAAGAGAGCAATTTGACATCTTTTTGTGCTATGTTTACTTGAAAGAGGGCGCTGTTGTTGTGATGTCAATTGAGGAAAACACTGCTCAGTTAATGTTTTTATGTTCAATTTGTGAACACCATATTAACTCACTGAAACAGTTTTTGTACACAAGCCAACGCAACATTGAGATTTTCTCCCTAGGACTGTCATCACAGTTTTGCTCATGAATATGGAAATTCACATCAGAATAAAAACCAACAGGGTACCTAAATACCTTTTTAAACAGCAACATAAAATTTAAAATAAGTTTAACTGAAACAAAATGGTGTATTTCCACAAACTGTAGAAAAAAGTGCATAGCACGGCCCTTTAAGTAAGGCAAATCTCACAAAGCATAGAGAAATTCAATTCAATTTTTGCTTCTTGCAACAATGGCCAATAAAATCTCTTGTACATTATTAGAGTTTGGAAAAATAAAACAAAATTCTAAAAGAACATGCAATTTAAGAAATCATGAAAGTAATACTTAAAAAGATCGAAAAAATGGTTCAAATTAAATATCCAAAAGCTTATTTCTCTTTCATAGCCTTCCTTCATTGCATCTAATAAAACATCTTTTCTTGTCAATCAGATCATTCCTGGCAAAAAAACCCTCTAATTTGCTGAGAGATTTATAACCTCACCTGTTCTGATGTCTTATAGAAGCTGGCTGCATACTGAAACAACTTGCGTCTGTCTTCAGACCGTAAGACCAAACGCGACCATCGCAGGTCAACACTAGTAGCAATGCTCTGAATACGTTCACTGTCATAATGATGCACCTCTAACAACTTGTAGGCATTGTCATGGAGACGTATTGCACTTTGTTGAGTTTTCTGATGCATGAGGAGAAATGACTGACAATAACAAACTGCCACCCACTGATATTTAAAAATTAAACTACAAAATCTTGTTGGAACAGTACAGTCTATTCATCATCAAGACAGGAAATTCCACATTCTGTATTAAGTTTAGATCACTTTTCATAGCAAGAACATCAGTATGAGGTGTTTAACATTTGTGTAGATTTCCAACTTAGATTGCTTCTTCTTGCCAACTTTGAAGTTTCATTATCTCATTTTGTTCTCAGCAGATCTTCAGGTTACTAACTCGTATGAGTTGACAGCTTTTCAACAGCTTAAAATTGTATAAGAAAATACAAACATGCTTTTAAATATCTAAGAGGGATTCTTATTCTTTTGTGCTCAGTCAACAAGAGTGAAAGGAAAGTTGCCAAACTTATAAAATCAAGAAAACTGTAGAATTTCTCAAGTTTCATGGTTCGGAAGTATGCAATCAGCTCCTCGGTGGACAACCTACCTCTATGGCATTTTCAAACTGTTGATGTTCTTTCTGTAATCTCTCAGCTTCCTCAAAGCTGTTGGGTACAGCCGTTACCATCAGAAGCATCTTCTCTGCACTCTTTATCCAACTCTCAACCTGTCCAAAAAGAAATCAAATGAAACAAATTATCACAACTTGTCATTCATCACACTGCCCTGCTGGTTTAACTCACAGGTCAGTGGTTCTTCAAAGAAACATTTCAGAAGTTTTCCTTTTCAAATGGTGTCTTCAAAGTGATGGAAACTATTCAACTATACAAACCCACAACTCAAGATCTGAGGACTTACAAAAACTGAAACTGGAACTATTTTCTTGTTTAAAACTCACCTTTCATAAAAACAAGTTAAGCATATTATTGTACATGTACCTTCCTGCATTTACAATTTACTGCAATACATCAGTAATAAAAATACAAGTCATACAGTAATGACAATACTGACTGGCTATGCTTACCTGCTCAGCATCAATCTCAAATTCTCTGAGGTTCCTGCATTGTTCTAGCTTGGCTCGCCGTGTCTCAGCAATGTCCTCCAGCTCCAGATATCCATCTTTGATGTCATCTAGGAGAACTTGAACCCTGGTCTGGGCTGTGAACTGACCACCAGTCATCAATTCAATGCCTGTGGACTCTAAGAGTTGTAAAAGGTCGCGACCCTTGAAATAGAGACAAAGGGAGAAAGAGGAAGAAATGTATTGTGGGTCAAAGAAAGTCAAAGGTGAAAGTTACATGGGCTGAATTTAGAAAGGATGAGATTCTGGTTGGTGGACAGCAGTGTCATGAGACACCAAAAAGTTTATATAAGCAGGAAAATTAACGCTCATACATTCATATCTCTTTGTAAAATCTCTCCTACTTATCACTGGCTCAAAATCTGGAGACAAACTCTCACTTGTAACTACGATGGAACAAAGGGCAAAGCTTGTTTTCTGCAACTGGATGAGCTGACATGGGTAGTTTCAATGTGACAGGTATAAGCATTATGTAAACTACATGTACTCCTCAGTCACGCTGGTTCCAAATACTTTGTACAACATTTACTTACTAACGCTGAAGTTGGCACTGTGAGTGGCCCGATATCATGAAGTGTTTCAGTTTAGCACACTACTGAGAACTCAAAACCTTTGTGGTATGTTTCAGCACGCTTTCTTCAGCAAATGGTTAATGCAGCAAAATGAAATGCAAAATTCGATTGGTATAACATCTGTGCATTTCGACTTCCTCAAAAAGCAACTTAGTAAATACCCCAAATACCAGCTATGTGTGACAGATATATCACCTGTATCTCAAGCGATCGAACACTACAATATTTCTATTCCATTCCTCATGTTCTGTTTTTGATGTCACACTTCATGATTAATCACTTTGTGTCGGGGTTCCCAGTACAGGAGGCCTAAGGTTTAAAGGCAAAGCCGGGGTGCCTGAATCGGACAAAGGAGCTGGGCCTTGTAACAAAAGACCGTACTCGGAACAAAAGACCAGGCTGCTGGGAATCGCCAACATTTTTTCAGTTGTCAATAGCGGAGATAATCTATCATTGTTTTGAAACAGTATACCACTATCTGGGGCATTCAGTGCAAGCGGATTATGACCGGGGACAAAAGCGTTCCAGCGTGCCAGCGATGAGCGATACAATACTGCTGCACACTAATCTGGCTGCAATTGAAAGGCACCGGCAGCGCCTGGGCCAGTTTCAGGAACAAAAGAAAATTAAGTAACACAACACAATCTGGGCTCTCGTTACAAGGAAGCAGGCTTGGCTGAAATACTCGGGCATCAATAGATGTTGCTTGTCAGATTAGAGTAGCCACCAGGCAGTCCTTCGTATGGGTGTAAAAATCCAGTAAATGAATTTTTGAAGAATTTTGAAAACAGAAAATCTTTAAATTCCCGGGAACTTGTCATGCAACTTCAATTTAGATCCGGCAGCATAAGGTTAAGGTTCAGCGTACTATTTGCACTACTCACTTTCTGTATGAGTTGCACTGTTCTCTCTTGAACGCCATCAAAGAAATCTAAGTGTTCCTTCAGCATCAGGTCAGCAGTGTCGATGTCAAAGTTGAAATCAGCACTGTGCATCTCGGTGGTGTACCTTGGCAGCTGGGTGGACAGCTGAAGGAAAAAGCAACAGAAAGCAAAGGTGTCAACAAAGTAGTAAGATGAGCAAAGAAATTAACTTGAGTAGGATATGAACCTGTGACCTCTGGAACACTGTACCAATGCTCAACCGGGTTGCCCAGGCTGTACGTTAGGGGTCTTCCAATGGGTCAGTTTCTTTGTTCAGCTGGTCTAGTTAGGCAAACTGTAATTTAAATATAGTCTTAATGCAACAGATGGATAAAAGGAAAAGTCTGGGATAATTTCTGACCTCTAAGGCATCTCTCTCAAACTGCCGAAGTTGTAGGCAAAGTTCTAACTTCATCCGTCGACTGGCCCACAGGCTATCCAGCTTAGACCTTCCTTCTTCCAAGTTATGAAGGATGCCTTCAATGTGGCTGCATGCCCCGTTGTAGGACACTTTGCCTGTATCCATGGCAATTTGCCTGCAGGAGTTGGAAAGAACCAAGCTAAGACATTTGTTTTTTCAAATAGGAAGATACACGTATCTCTAATTTCTTTTGGTAAATTAGCAACAGTTTGGGTTCACTAAATTGCCAGCAGTAGGACTGTCTTCTTGCTCCTTTTTTCACCTCTTACAGTAAGTTTTGCCAACGTGAAAAACCCGTAAAAAAATCAACAGATTTCTAGAAAATCCTTAAAAAATGTACGGTAAGAAAAAATTCCAGGTTTTACTGCAATGATCTCTCAGTAGACACAGCCAGCTATTACAAAAATGATAATCATGAAATCTGACATATGAACGTTGACCCATGGAAAAATTCTGACCTTCCTAACCATGGGGCAGATTTTGATGTGATGCACCTTACACCCCACTAGTTGTCTGACGATTTCCAAACAACTTGAATCTAGACTAATCCTAATTATTTCCCAGTATGCACAAGGGGAGGATTTCACACTTGACATTTTAGCTGTAACCTAATAACAAGCCGCCAGTCCAGCTTAACATCATTCAATCAATGCATCTCCAGGGTCTATTTGTATTCACACAGCTCTATGAACAGGGATAGAATACATGGTTTCGTGGGTGGATCTTTGGGTGACTGAACTCCTGTGGTAAAAGCCACAGAAGGTACAATATACATGGGCTGTGGGGTACCATTCTGACTTAATGGAGGCTGAAAAGTAAAAGAGAGAATGCTCGGTGGTATGTTATGTGATGCGGTGTATGTTTCACACAGGATTAAAGTAATGCAAATAGACAAACTGGACAGAATCTTAATATCCTTTTGCCTTTGAGAAAGATTCTGCTAGAATACAAATCAACGAGTTATGCAGCAGTTTTTCAATTTTACATTTCTGAAATCTTAATTTCTCCCACAGACAACATGGGCTCTTGACATTTTAAAAAGACTACCCATTTCAGAAAAAATTTAACACTATGAGAAAGAGTGAACTGTTTGAGATTTTCTCCTGACAAATCAGATATTGATACTACATGTACACTGGACAGCCCATTAGCCCCACAGTGAAAGGAATAAACCACCTCAAGGGCTAACTACCGGTACACGGACATAATTTGAAATCATGCTCTCAAAGATTACACAAGTAACATGAAAGGTCAGCAATATTCTAAAATTACCCATTGTATGAACTAATCCCAGGAGACATTATAACTGCAGTACCATGGTACTCACACCTGGATTCTTGATCTTGACGTGCTTTGGCAAATCAGGACACCCTATTAGTCAAAGAGGTATGTAATGTGTGCATAGCACCTGTCCATGATCTTTGTGCAACCACAGCTATGCCTTCTAATTCAGGTTGTCCAATTACACTATAACAAATGAAGTGGACTGAACCATCAAAACACTGCCAGACTTATTACCAGTGCTCAATATACTGCCACATCCAATCCAGAGGATGAGTTCCATTGTCAGAGCTATTTCAGGAAGTATGAAGTTAATTGATCAAGCTATCAATGTACAATACCTTTTCATAGAGTAAGCAAGCTCTATAGTACAACGTGATTGAGAGTTAACCCTGTGAAAATGACTGGGAAAAAGAATTCGTATTTTTGCAAGTGAATTTTGCATTTTGACTGCTACTTTCCCCTCTTCGAATTTGCAATGAATCTGGTGTGAAAATGTGCAAAAAAAGTGCTAACATGGTGCGAAAAATATGAGAAAACGGCACGGTGCAAAAAAATTGTTAACACCATGTAAAAAATCTGTGTGCGAAAATAATGCGAAAACTGTGCAAAAATACTGCGAAAACGATGTGAAAATGTCAGTGCAAAACCTTGCTTGTCTAGGCCAGATAGATTCTGGCTGACGTTGACTTCAGAGGCACGGAGCAAACACACTCTCCACAGATATTAGTTGTGGTTGTGTACTGGGTTTATGTGTGTAGGGGCCGAAATGGGCCACTGCGCATGCATTGTGCACATGGATCGTTTTGTGTACAAATGAGTGATCGTCCGACTCCCCGTAGACACTATGCAGTAATTTGATTTCTAGCCCCAGGGACCACACTATTTTTCATCAATTTCTGCACAAATGGATAAGGTTTGAGTTGCTCGAACTCTTCATTGAAAATTCTGTGAAAAAAGGACAAGTTTTCTGAAGTTTGAACAGCTAAATATGGGCATTTTCTGCAAGAGGAATTTTAGAGGCTTTCTGGTACATCTACAAGAACCTAGGTATTATTTTTGGAAACGAATGGGTCGGAAACACCTGAGACCGATTGAAGTTTAGATCGTGAATGTGGGAACATTTGCCCGCTGAGTGATGAAGTGCACTGTAATTTTCCAAATGGCGGTGGCTGGGTGTCAGTACAGCAGCTGGTCAACATGGAGTCCGCATACGGTAGACTCACACGGGCCGCCGTACACGGGCAGATATGGACTGCCTTCTCAGACTTTGTCTATGTCACGAGTTATGGTAATCACTGTTTGTATTACTGCTTTTCTAAGATAAATAACAAGTATTATGATATTGGTCGCTCTTCTGACTTTGCTCCAGTCAATTCTTACTAAAAAAGTTTTAACCATTCAAACACAAATAGTTCAGGGATATTTTTTCAACTGTTCAGCTACATGTACTTGTAAACTTCATACTTTAAAATTGATTTGTTGGGGCTGGGGTTGATTTCCTTCTCAACTTGGTAAAAGGTGTTAACATTTTCCCATTTATGAAAAAGTGTGAATTTTTTTCCCACCTGGGAAAAGTTTTCCCACTGTGAAAAACAGGTGTGAAAATTTTTCCCACCTGTGAAAAAAGGATGAACATTTTTTCCACTGCGGGGAAAATTTTTCACAATTTGTGAAATGAACATTTATTTTCTCAGATGGGAAAAAGAGGGAAAAATTTTCCCACTTTTGAGGTTAACTTTCAAGTGCACTGTACTGTATCTCTTATTAATCCACTTACCTTAGATGATCCACCAGGTTCTGGCCTTCACTGATGGTATTGACTGAGGCGTCAATGGTAATGTCCCTCTGATGCTCAAATTTGGCCAAGTCTTCTTCGGCCTCCTCTACCAGCTCTGATGTCTCCTCTGTGCTCAAACTTTCCTGTAGTTCCTTATACCACGCTGTTAGCTATAGAAAAAAACCAAATCAGAGCATCAAGGATCAGGTGGAGAGATAAGATGAAAAGGGTTGGCAGGGTTTGACTTCTTGGATTAAACTGGTGCTTCAGAATGATTCACCTGACTAGTATCCCTCCAGCACTAGGAACTAGACACAGATGGCAGCAATGTGTTCAGGGCTCAGTATGTCTCAAAAAAACAAATCTCCATCCACTCAAAGCCTGCTTTTTAATCCTCCAGATATTACTCTACCTACTAGAATATGTCACACTTTTACTGCTTACCAGGCAAAGATGCATATCAAAAACAGATTACAACTACTGAGAAATCATTATCAAAATTAAAAAATTACGATAGAACTCACAGATTTAACATCACATTTGGGAATTCCAATGCAAGCTGTGCTTCACAGCTACATGTACATGTGCATGTACATGCAATCCAGGATGTTTATAGGATAATTGTCCATAAACTACGTCACGACTAGACCATTTCATCAATCAGATCCTAGACCAATTCAATCACATCTCAATCGGACAATGATGCTTTTTCCAATTGTAGGTATATCACCATACCTAAAAGGCCTGGCAAATAGCCATTCACAAGCTCTGTTACCAAGTCCTATTGTTACCTAGGTGGCAAAGTTACCAGTCTTTTGTCTACCAAGGTTATCTGAGTGCTTGCTGCTACAGAATGCAGGAAGATTTGATGTTTTCATTTCCCTACGGACATCTATGGCTTTTGATTTTGAATAACAGAGGGGGCTGGAATGAGGTAAGTTAATAAGGCTTCTGCTCAATCTTGGGGTGTTTACTGTTTGTATTTGATCATCAGTTACGTCCATCACTGCCATTAGCTAGTTCGCAGAGCATTGCATTCCTGCCTGAGATGTCATGTGACGTGTGTCATTGTGACAGCTTTATGAGACATTCTAATGGCTTTTTAAGTTTACTCTGCTATAATGACTGAACACCTTCCAATGGGCCTTGGGCAGATGTGCCAGAAATTTTCTGTGTGATGGACTACCATATTCAGGTGGCATGGTACATGTACATGTATGTATGACGACAGAAGAGGGCTCACTTTTGATCAGGCCAGTGTTGAAATCTCCTTGAATAGCAGAGGAAAGTTTGAGAAGACAGGTAGAAGCTTTATGGAGTGGTTCTAAGAGGATTCTATGAACTGTAAAGCCTATGTTCAACTTAGGCATCTTTGCAACACTTCCAACAACATGGAAATTCCTTGATATCCTGAAAAAAAAACATGGGAAAGGCTACCACCAATGTGTGCATACATCACTTGGCCTTGCCAAATTGTGAACTGAAAGCTACAACCTTGAAACACCTAGACAGTTTGGTTGAGCAGGCTTGTGTGCAGACACCTAGACAGTTTGGTTGAGCAGGCTTGTGTGCAGACACAAGCTGAAGCTGTAGTAATGCCACAGATTGGATGCTGGGATTAAGCAGGATTATCTGAGATCAGATTTACCAACACGTTACAATTATGACAATAAGGAACAAGTACTGGATATTATAGATATACGCAATATAGCAGGATCCCCCCTTGCCCCAAAGGAAAATTTAAACCAAAGCTGAAACAAAATCCAGCCAAATACACTTAAGGATGTTTTTCTTTGTGTGTGTCGTCTTAGCGACAGTTACACCAAGTAGGCAGGAACCTTTGGGGGGGGGGTTAAGAATGAATTCAAGCCCAATCCATACAGAAATGACAAAGGCCTAGTCACACTGTTCCTCTAGGGAATGTACATGTGTATGTAAATGTCTGACACTAGGGGGCGCTACTGTAGAAGCAACAATATGCATGCCAGCATAGAACCAAGCTGAAGTAAAGACACCCTTATCCCCTGTGGTGGTGAAGTAAATGTCTGAGTTATATTTAGGAGGAAGTGGGTTGATAAATGAATGGCAAATTGCTGGGTTGTTATGAACAGCATCAGAATTTCTCAGGAAAATGTCAAATGGGCTCCTGGTAAATGTTTTGTCGGTAATGGGGTAATACTTCCTTTTATGTTGTCAAATTCTGACAACTGACTGTGGGCATTAATGTCTACATTGTATGTCTGATCCTTCTGTGATATGTACATGTATGTTCACGACTGGTTAACAGAGATTCAGGTACAGATTACGGCTTTGGGATCTTAAATGAATCCTTTTTATTTCGTCAATGATCTTTTCCTACTGTCTAGTTTGCTTGTTATTGCATCAGGGCAACAATTTTCCACGATTGTTTCCTTCACACCCATTTCCAATTTATTGTGACTCTGAGGATGGATTTGAATTTCTAGGCTACAGCTGGGAAAATGCATACAAAATCAACAGTCCCTGCTTTGAAATCTGACTTCATGGTCAAGTAACGGCCTCCCAGCTTTTGTACTGGTTGCTATACATGTACTAGCCAGCAGTTATTCCTCCACTATGAGTCCTGTTAACCAAGCTCTTGAAGACACAGCATAGAGCATATCAAAATTAACTTGACCTTACAAAAAAGTCATATCACTAGACATGCTTGCCATTAAGCAACATTATATGTCACACTGTTAAATATAAAGTCAGGCAGCAAGGGTTTGAATCCCACCACTGGCAAAGTGGATTGGATTTTTAGTCCCTACCTGATTCGATGGGTTATTCCAGGAATACTTATCCAGGTTTTCCTCCCAACTCTAAAACTGAACATTTTTTCAAGGTCTTCTTCATTGGCACTTTATAATCATCCTGTAATTGGCACTTAATGCTGTCTTGCATGATTAGAAATAAAATAAATCCAAAAGAAAAAAGAAATGGAATTATCACACTCCTGGGAGAGCTTGGTGCATAATTCCTTCCTACAAATCAGAACGACTTCTCACCTCTTTTGCATGTGTGTGGAAGGAAACGGACATATCAAGCAACTGCTTTCGACATTCTGTCCGTGTGATGAAGTCACGGACTTTCTCTTCCAGTACCCTAGCCACTTGGTAGATTTCTTCGGGATTACACTCTCCTGTCTGGGCTAGCTGGCCTGCGTTGGCTAACAGGCGATCCGCATTGGTAAAGGTGTTCTGTAGAAAAAAGACAAATGAAAACAGGTAAACTGTTAGTGAGAAGAAAGAGACTGAAGTGTCAGTAACGGTGATGCCAACTCAGCAACTGACCGGGAGATAGTATATATTACTCACAGCTACATGAACACGTACAGACATGTACAAAACCTGAACAAGACTCCTTGATTTACATCTCAACAGAAATGCAAACCAACAGAGACTTTCCGCATAAAGTTCAAAAGCTCAAGTCAAAGCAGCAGGTTGTATTTATCATGAATACAAGGAACCTACATTTGTAATGACAAATGAAATGGTACAAGTTCACGTATCTTAATTCCGTCTTCCTAAATTTTCACCATTTTTCACAAAGAAAATTTTCAAGCTAACCCATCTTGTAACTCTGTGTTCCTTACTCCATCTGGCTTCTGAATGATGCAAAGATACAGAGTTCTAAAATTTGTTGTTGGGGTGTCGGGTTGTTTGTTATGCTGTTACCTAATGACAATTATTTGTAATGATGTATAACCTCACCGGTAAATGAGGTCCTTTGTAATGTTGTTTAATTTTCTCTTCATATTTGTTTGTGCTGTTGTACTTCATGTAATTGGAAAATAAATTGAATTGAATTAACAACTGACGGTAAGAAAAAGTCTACATTTCATTCATAAATTTTTTTTCAGTTCTCACCTAGTCCTAACCCTAAAAAAATAAGAGAAAAACAAATTAATCGGTTATTGCAAAAAATTGAGAATCAACCGAAAATCAGTTTAAACTCCTCAAAAAAACCAAATATAATAGGCTTGGATGACCCAACTCAAAATTGTTTCCTTGAAATCAGCTAAATCAGCATAAATTACACAATTTACATATTGATACTGGCACGACTATCATCAAATACCAACAGCTGTCATTCCATTCCAACTTCATTACAGAAGAGTGAGCCACATGTCCAGGCACCCAACCAAGCCCAGGCTGCAGAAAGAGAGAAAAAATCTGGCCCAGATCTAAAGCAGACCTTGCTCCTAATAAAAACCACACTGGCTAAGCTTGGTCATACCATGAATACTGCAGAGAGCTGATATTGAATTAGACACTTAAAGAGTGTAAACGAATAAACCACAGGGACAGACTCTCATTACAAGTCAGATTACTTCTAAGCACACATGTAAATGACATCTCATTGGCATGTGCATGTATTCATTACTGTCAAATTCTATCACCAAGTTTTAGATAGAAATGTCAGAAAGGAGAATCAGTTCTGGAATGGTCAAGAAATCATGCAAGTTTTACTCTTCTTGATTGTGCAAAAATATTGCTATGCTTTTGTTTGTTCTCCTGGAGTTGTTTGTGTACACTGGTTAAAAAAAACCATCGTAATCACAGGCCAGCCATCCAGTAGTGGAGGTTAAGATAATAAGAGTGATGTCATTCTGTGGACATTCCTGACATTCAAATATCAGAATGGCAAAATGGTGGTTGAATAAAAGCATGCTGACAGACAAACTCCCCTATTAATCTTTACACAGGTCTGATTGTTCAAAGCTGTTCATTTACATGTATTCCATTTTCAGTTACTGCAAGAGTCAACGCAGGTTTTACACGTACCTAAAACTGAAAGCAGCAACGTTGACTGCTTGTCCCACATTTCTTTCCTCCCACACAGATAGTCTCTTCACCAGCAGTAGCACATTACACCTATACCTTAGAGGCATGCAGTACATTCACCTTCTACCCAGGTCCAAATGAGGATAAATAAGTCACTTAACCGGTCTTGACTACCTTTTGCATACACAAACATTTTTCTACTGCTGTGAGCTTATGAGTGGTTCTGTGAAGTGACCGACTTTGGGTAATCTGGAAATCTGCATGTAATAGGGTTAATACACCGCCTTTGGACTATTTGATATAGAACAGGAGTATATTGCTCTGCTAAATAATATCCAAAGGCTAACTTCTTGTTTTCCTTTCCTCTAATTCGCGTGCCAGTTGATTGGTGTTTCACAACATACATGTACGAAAAGGCATTTACTATACGTTTACAGTGACCATTCAGTGTGAGTTTTCACTATTCAATCCTACATGTACAATGTACATGTAGAAGCTCAGGAATGTTTCAGAAGCACTTGCAAATAACTTGAAGGCAAACAAATACTGCGGTAAATTTCAAGTTTCCCACGGCACTAAGATGAATAGGAGAGTAATTCCTACTAAACTGAAGGTCTTGAAAAGTTTCAGAGCCACAGGGTTTCCAAGACAATGTCCACAAACAGAAAAACGGTTAGAAAAGCTCTGGAAAAACTATCAATTTCTGTACAAGCAGATCTCAGCATTTTAAGAACAAGAATCTCTGTAAGCAAACTGCTTTGTTTGCTTTCATACATTGTAAATCAGTAAACTGTTTAGGTAAGGAAATAGGTTTAATGTTGATTAATCAACGGGGATTGTGCACAAAATATGTCTCAGTTGAGTCTTTGCAGATCTTGAATTATGTGCAAGACTAAGGCTCGAATTTAATAAAAGTGTTGATACGAATCTGCAACTGCAAGTTCTCTCGTCAGCTTAAAGGTTTCACAATCACCAAGATCAAATTTTAAGCCTTGACAAGGTTTGAACCACATGATTTATTCCATCCAGACAAACATACATAACTAGGCCATCAATTATCACCAACCAGTTCAAAAGATAGTTTACCATCTGATGTCTCTGAACTTCAGGATTCCTGCACTCTCTCTGACCGCCCCACCCACCAGCAGACACAATCTTGGTACCTTCCCTGATGCTGGTTTATTCAAAACCTGCTGTGAGTATCAGTCACATTACACTCTAACAATCCAAGGATATCACAGTAGAGCATTGGCCTCTCTTTGCTGGCCCAGTACTCAAAACTTTAAAGGGTCTGTTCACTGCAACTATTTCACTACAACATTAAGTTTATTTCCACTTTTGTTTTGCTACATGCCATTCAATCGGTAAACTCTACGTACTCACTACTCAAGTGCCTGTTTGATTTTTATGCTAATGCAAATTTGCATGAGCAGAACTGTGAAGCCATCCTTAGGAGAAACCATCAAAGTTGTACTGATTTCTGCACTAAAACTGACTGAAGTTTGAACGATTTTGCTGTTTTTTTTTGTTGTTGTTGTGTAAGTACTGGTACATTGCAATTAACCAATGAGCAACCCTTTCTTGAAAATGCTTCAAATGAGCAAATTTCAGGTTCACACTTTTAACAGAAAATCATGAAAACTGAACCGTGTCTTCCATGATTGACATTACTGCATGGGTCCAGAAGAGAGTACATGTAGCGTACTTCTCAATTCACATAACCCCAAAATGATGTGAAATGTGTTTCATACATTGAAAAGTTAAAGATGCAGGAAAGAAAGTCTAGGAACAATTCATCTCATGGGTCCTTTGAGGTACACACTCCAACAGCTATGGATTGGATATCCTCTAGAATGTTTATACTGGCTTTTTGAGTCAGCTTCCGTTCTTGGAAATGACAAATATCAAGACTCATATAATGCAGAGGCAGATCCAGCAATCGCAAGGGAGGGGAGGGGGTCTGAAATTTACAAAATGGAGTGCCCTGAATGGAGATGAGCCTGAATATGTGGGCACATCTTTCATGAGAATGTCTGGTTTTAAAGTTATTAAACAAAAGTTGAGGGTGAATGAAAAAGTCCAGAAAAAGGGCAAATTTGCCTCTCTAAATGGGGGGGGGTTGCACACCTGTCCCAAGCATTCATTTTCAGTCAAACAGCAACTCAATAAATGGATTAACTGTCGTTGATAATGAAAATTTACCAGTAGATTTCTAGTGGGTTCATCTGCATGCACTTTTTCTCTCTCTTAAGCCATCAGTTCAAGACTGATATGTTGACAAATACGAAAAAACATTGAAACGATTGCAATCATTGGAGGAGTACATGTATACTTTTTAAAATTTAATATTTCAATATCCATTCAAAAACGACTAAGATCCTTTTACAGAATATGGAACTGCTGTCTGGAGATGGACATCACAAGCATAAGTACGGCGTAAATGTTCATGTACATGTACTTAACCAATATGACCAAATGAAAGATAGTGACTTGTCACTGAAATAAAAGGTCAGCCATCCAGAAATTTAAGACTTACAAAAATAAATAAAAAAATTAATTAAATTAAGAAAATTCACAGGAAAAGATCATCATGGAGGAACACATATCTTGATTCCTATGTACATGTATACTCAGCGGAATGACGTACACACAGATGATGCGTAATGGAATTCACAGTGAAATCACACCTGCTTCATATTTGCCCTATAGGGGTAAAATGTGAAGAGAACTATTACTGAATAATACTTGAGTATCATCTTTATCTTATCAACTTGCTCAGGTGCTGTTTTCTCACGCTTCTTTAGTGATGTTCTAGATTTGTACATACAGCAGTCCTTCACTGTCGGTTGTGAAGATGCCATCAAAAGTTCTTGCTCACAGTCAATGACTCTATTGATTAGTTTGACAAGCCATGATAGCCAAAGCCAGTCTTGACTTTTTTAATATTAAATTTGAGGTTTTCTTCCTATTACATGTTCCTTCAACCAAAAAATAGCCCACTCACAATTTGAGCATCATCAATTTGAATTAAGAATTGGAAGATTGACTTAATGTGATTGATAAATCAGTGTAATGAGGTTTCAACTACAAAAATTTGGTTATTTGCCGCATTGCAAACTAGTTAAACTGAGTGGCATGAAAACGCATAGTAATTTCTTCATTTGTTTTTCTTCAAGTGCAGCTTCAGTAATTATTAGATACAATTTTTCTGGAACTTTATACTCCAATACAGAAACTATTTGACATCCATTTTAAATGCATTAAAAAGTAAATTTTTCAAAACATTTAAAATTATCCACACTTTCCTGGACAACTGAGAAGACTGTTGTTGTGATGTCATCCAGGGAAGACATAGTTCAGTGCATAGGTTTTTGGTTCCAAAATGTAAACTCAGAATTTACTCAATGAAAACA